GCCGAAGCATGGCTCTCCCACACTTCCTGACAATCGATTATCAAATTATACATACATACATACATATTTCCATTTTATTTTGAATTAAGTATGCAAGTAAGATAATGAAGATTGGTTTACTACATAACGAAGTCATCGTTTGTAAAATTGGTCGGTTCCGTAGCAAACCAATAGTTACTGTCTCTGTACTGTAAACCTACATCTTCATTTTCGTAAGTACCTGCATACTAACTGACTGTATGAAATATACAAAAACAATAGTTTTAAAATGTAGAAAGTAAATATTTCGTAGTATATCTGCTACGCCGTAGCTCATAGCTACGAATCTTTCAAAATTGAATTGTGTCAAAAATGACAAATTGTCTACACTCTGCAGCATAATATGAAAAATATATCTATTATAAATATTCGTTTCTTTAGTCTTAATTTCTTTTTAATTTATTACATTAATACGCATAAACCGCAGAACTGATTGCGATGAAATATAACAAATAGATTTAAAGTCATATAGGTACTATTTTATTGAAATCTATTGTTTGACCAAACAGCCAACACAAAACGGGTTTAAATTATTATTTTCGCATACGGAAAACATATCAGTCATTATGTTCACTGTTCAAATCAAAGAACTACTTTGTATCAACCAATTACGATAGTAGGTATATCTGTTACAAATCTATTTTAGTCCAATATCAACCCTCGGACCATGGCATAACGACGTTTGATTAAAGTCACTTAACGCAAACCTTGTGGTTTTCGTAAACATGTCGATCAAATCATCGCCACTCACCACCCACTGGCACTTGTTTGGGTTGCCATGGTAACGGCTGATCGATAGGAAGATATACCTACTATCTATCTATTTATTTTATGAAAATGAATCGCTGAATGTGTTGCTAAGCGCAAATCTCGAGAACAGCTGAACCGATTTCGCTATTTTTTTTTTGTTGAATGGTTTATTGATAGGAGAAGACTCTTCTGTAAGGATAAAGAACAAAGATTGAATGATTTACATCTTTGTGTTAATTACCTGTCTGATTCTATAATAATTTGTATTTGGTACTCAAAGTTTATTTATTATTTTCATGTTCAGTTCATTATTTCATGTTACTTTGTTGCACTGTGTTACAACCATGATGCGAGAACTAACTAGTCTACCTTTACCTAGTAACTTTAACACTGGGCCACCAAGATACCGGCTGTGCCTATTTTGCAGCCCACGGGCACCTCTGTCGCTTTTGCGTTTATGTGAATACTGTGTGCTTCTATGTCTACATGTAGTGTAACTTGTGTATGCAAATAAAAAATATTTTTTTTACTTCTTTTTCGCATTTTCAATTTTAGTTATATTATTAGGTATTTGTTTTTTAAGGGGGAAAATCATCGATTGGCTTCTCCTTTCAGGGTGAGGCGGGAGGGAGTGTCAGACTCTTACTGACTAAAAACCACCCCGTTCCTACTCCTGCCCTTCGAGCCGGAACCCCGGCAACCCGTTAAGTCCACCGCTCCATTATAATTTGGTATTAGAATTGTTTTCAGCAAATGAGTGGTCAGTTACAATAAAGGGACGAGGTGAAACTAATTATAATTCAGTCCTCCACATTCCACTGATGTCTTTACAAGTGGTTTACTCACTCAATTACCAAGGTAATTAAATGCAATGTACTAATCATCATTCTAATCTATTAAGGACTACCTCTATTAAGGAACATATCATCAAGTACCTACCTATTTGGACACCTTAATTTCCATTGATAACATAGGCAATCAATATAAGCCTGCCTCGATTCGAGTTAGTAATATAGTCATCAACACACACATCAAGTGTGGGAGAGCCATGCTTCGGTGTGAATGGGACGGCTCGACCGGAGTGATACCAAGGCCTCACAGAAAACCGACGTGAAACAACGTGTGTCGTCGTGTGAGTGATATTACCGAAAGCCAAATTATCCCCTCCTCCCCTTTCCCAATTCCTGAATCCCCAACAATCCTTAAATTCCTAATCCCAAAAGGGCCGGTAACGCACTTGTAACGCCACTGGTGTTCCAGGTGTCCATGGGCGGCGCCGATTGCTTACCATCCGGTGATCCGTCTGCTCGTCAACGAGCTTATGCCATAAAAAAAATATATCATCGTCATCACCAACACCTTGATATCCACCGTTGAACTTTATCTACTCTACAATAAGAGTTATTTTGCCGGAATTTCCACGCTCGGGAAGCATGTAGAGGATCACTAGATCACTGAAAGTTTAGAAAAAAGAAACTTCTGCTTGTTTATCGATGGATCAATGCAGATGCCTGAAGTAAATAATAGCCTTAGATATTTATGCACTTAATTATATGAAAATTATCGTATTTAATAGAAATTGTATAATGTAACATTGCTATCTTGGCCTGCCTCGTTGGTCGGGTGCTCGCAAGTGTGACTGCCGCGCATGGGGTCTCGGTTACAATTCCCGGGACGGGCAAACTATTAGTGGGTTTTTTAAAAATTCTCAGTTGTAGCACGGAGTTTAGAATTGTGCCCGGTATATGGCAATAGGCTCACCGCATATTACATGGAACTTATAACATAAATAGTGAAAAATGGGTGTTACATTGTACAGTGGCATAATGTGCACCTCTGCCTACCCCTTCGGGGATAAAAGGCGTGATGCTATGTTATGTTAACATTGCTATCATTACATTTACAAAAGCACAGATTACTCAAATAATACTTTCCTAATCGTTTTTGACGAAGATTGATTATGTCATTAACCCAATAAAGAACAAAGACTAGTTCGACCTGACTACTGACTAGTCTAGTCATTTCGGCTCCTAAAAAAATCTCCAGACATATAATATTGATTCCATTTTCAGACATAACGGCGCCAGAGGGGACCCAGATCAACATTTACCAATAAAAGATGAGACGAATCTTTGATCCTTTTATTTACTTACCTACTCGCTATTTTCACGTAGTATTGTGTAGTTTAGACTGCTTCGTTGGCCGAGTGGTCGCAAGTGCGACTGCCGGTCAAGGGGTCTCGGGTTCGATTCCCGGGTCGGGCAAAGTACTACTGGGTTTTTATAAATTCTCAGTAGTAGCACGAAGTCTGGAATTGTGCCCGGTATATGGCAATAGGCTCACCCCCTATTACATGGGACTCATAACATAAATAGTGAAAAGTGGGTGTTACATTGTACTGTGGCATAATGTACACCTCTGCCTACCCCTTCGGGGATAAAAGGCGTGATGTTATGTTATATATGTTATTGTGTAGTTTCACGTAGTATTCTTCAAATGACTGCCTCGTTGGCCGAGAGGTCGCGAGTGCGACTGCCGGGCAAGGGGTCTCTAGTCCGATTCCCGGGTCTAGGCAAAGGATTACTGGGTTTTAAAAAATATCTCAGTAGTAGCACGGAGTCTGGAATTGTGTCCGATATATGGCAATAGGCTCACCCCCTATTACATGGGACTTATAACATCAATAATGAAAAAGTGGGTGTTACATTGTACAGTGGCACTAAATGCTGTAATGTGCACCTCTGCCTACTCCTTCGGGGATAAAAGGCGTGAAGTTATGTTTATTGTGTAGTATTAAAGTGACTTAATTTCCTTTGAAGTTAGTTAGGTGTAATTATATCAAAGTATCTGATTTGGATTTATACTAGATTCGACAAAAATAGATCTCTTTTAATCAACCTTTCGAGTTTTGTATGCTGAGTCACATGCAATAAGATTCATAAAACACTGGGTTGTTATTGGTCATTTACGAACAGTAGGTGGCCCTACAAATGACAAATGCATCTTGCTTATAGACAGTGAAAACTGTCCATGAAGCGATAACGTAAAATCCGCTTATAAAAAGAAAGAAAGAAAGAAAGAAAGACTTTATTTCACACGCTAAAAAACAGGTGACACATACAGATTTTACACATAAGTTTAATAAGTAATGAGTTTACAAAATAATGTCTAATGTCCCAAGCACAGGTCCCAAGTCTGCGGTGAAATGGGACCAGTTCAGCATGTGCAAGACAGGGCCTTGCGCTGGTATTCTACTGGCCCCGACGACGAAGTGACTCGCGGACGAACAAGTCACCAATCAGACAACGATAAACATAAAACAATTTTCCCCAAAAATACAAAATGAAATGCACAAAACAAAACAAATATATAAAAACAATAAAGCAAATTTAAAAAAACGTGTAGTTAAATGCAACCTACCAATATCCAAAAAAAAGCTTAAAATAATAAAATAGAAAACTAAGTGAATTAGAGCAACCTACTTACAACCTAACCTTATCGTTTTTGACGATTGCATTCTTCAAATGACGCCTCAGAACAGCAACAAAACACTCAGTATAATTATGTTCTCAAGTAATCGTGAAGTTCGGAAAAGTACTTATTATCTTTTTTTACATGTTATCTTTTTCCCTTAACACGCTGAGTCAAGCTTGTGTGACTGTACATACGACTCAGTATCGTTCGAATGTCAGCACTAATTATTATTTTTAAAATAAAATTATTTAATTTGTCCATATTGTATTTATTCTTTTATATAACTATATAGTAGTAACAGAGTCCGTAGCCTACGTAGGCTTCCTACCTATCGTACTAAATGTGAATTATGGGTCTCTTCTTACATTCATTCTTTAATTAATTATCGTAATTTATCTCTTTAAATAGTTATCACCATCACAGTGCCAAATCTGATTGGTTGGCTCACTGTAGCCGGCCAATCAGAGCGCCGAACGCGCTCAAAACGAATACGATACGAATACAATAGTTATTCGTGCTTTGCACTCTGTATACATTTACAAGGCGCCATATAATTTTATTAAATATTTTATTTAAACCCAATAAGTTGCTCGTACTGTGAAAATATAGCCTTCATTCATACAAAACTTTTAGTAATGTCCTCCCTGAGGCTTCATCTCTAGATTTAACCTAATAGCATATCTGTACACATAACAATCTTTGGCAATTTGCCATAGAGCCCCCATTCAGTTAGGGTAGCAGTAACTGACACAGTGACTCCCGAACCTTCTTGTAGACAAACGTAAATAGGTACGTACTGGGTTTTAGGCATTTTTATAAGCATTTGTTAAGTGGTATTTATTTATTCTTTAGTGTGCATTTCTTTTTTATTTGTGTGTAACATTTGCTGGTTAGTTGCATATACCAGGAGCCGATAAATACTATACATATAGGTACTTGTACATACAGGTACAAACATAGTATGCATGGAACATAGTAATTAGATCTTATGTTCCGTTTGCTTTTGACTTGTTTTTAGTTTTTATTAAAAATGGGATAATGATATTGTTTCCATTTTAATACAATATGATTATCGATTGCATCTTCTTTAAATATTTAAGTATTTAGGTGGAAATGTAATATTAGTAAATAGTTAACTTAAAAACGGGATAATATGTATTACATGTCGAAATACTCCACAAATAATTGGGTACTTTCCATAATCACAAATAAATTATTTCGACAGTTCAATACAATGAAATATATCAAAAAAAATTAAAGTTTAATTAATTAATTTTATGACCAACTTAATTTTAGTATTTTTCCAGCAATTTTTGTAGAAATAAGTACGCTGTTTGACGCTAAAAAAAGGAGACGGCACAATACACAATCTCGTACAAAATTCATAGAAAACTGTCGTTTTTGACAGTTCGAAAAATGTATTGACTTTGACTAGTTGTCAAAACTGTATTACCGCTTAGGTCATTGATCATTGGTCATTTACTATTGCCACTTTAAGGGGAAGTACTCTTAATACTTTAGATAGAAAGTTTTACTCAAAGAAAACATTCGTTATTTTTGAAAAGAAAGAACACTGCAACTAACGATTTTTAAATAAAAACTGCGTTTAAACTGTCAAACACCAAGCGGTCACCGGTGACCGCAACCTATTGTTCTTTAATTGTGTCTACAAAACCGGTACTCGACGAGTTAAAAAACCGACTTCAGAATACTATTAACAAACAAAAAGTCAAAACTAAAACGCAAAAAATAACTATTACTATATTAGTACTGATAGGTTAGCCACCCACTGATAGACTCAAAGTCGGCGCCATAAGTTCTATACAAAATTATTTAATAAAATCTTAATACATACCATATTTACAATTTTGTAGCCATTAAGTTATATCATTATGATATGAGGTGAGCTTTTTTTGAGGAGGAATTTCATCCAATTAATTCTCCCACCTTGGGTTAGGTTACTGGCGCCATCTGTGGTGGTCTGATGGTTCTTTGAGAACACGGAACGCGACGTGCCACGTGTACGCACAAGTTATTTCATATTAAAAATTTCAATTTGAACGCCATTTATTTTAGGTTTTATTTATGTACACACCTACATCCTAAATAGCCTTGGCATATAAATATAAAAAACTAGATGGAAACTTTAGATAAACTGTATACATAAATCAAATCTAACATCTTTGACATTTCCGGATTCTAATTTTATACGTCTTAAGTACGTACTACGCTCGCTTTGTCCTGGAGCAGCAGACATATTTGCTTTACACCCAGTTTGCATGTTATAAGTAATTAGGTATATATCGACATTCACAGAAAAAAATGAAGATTAAATTATATATTGTTAGCGAAAATTTAATATAGATTCATTCATAATTATATTGGCTATTCGTTGTTTGAAATCCCGTTAGGTAATCCTTATTATGATATAATTTCATTTTATCTTGTAATAATTGCATTTTCTATCGCTTATACCACGACGAGTGCTCTAAGGAATTGTTTGACCTGATACCTTCCGCATCTTTTCGCCTTTTTTTTTTAAGGGGGGAAAATCATCGAATGACTGCTCCCGCCTGGGTGAGGCGGGAGGGAGTGTCAGACTCTTACTGACTAAAAACCACCCCGTTCCTTCTCCTGCACGTCGAGCCGGAGCCCCGGTTACCCGTTAGGTTCTCCGCGACTACGAATCGGCATCGGCCCTATTGGCCCCCATCTGTGGTGGTCTGATGGCTCTTTGAGGCGCGCGCGGAACGCGATGCGCCGTACGCTCGGGTCTGTTTCTGGTCGGACGGGGAGCCACCCATGCTCGCCGTCCGCAGGCCCGCGCTTACGGTGGCCGGAGATCGTCTCGCGATCCCCGACGCCCGGTGTGTCCTTCGCGATGGCTGGGTTGCGAGGAGGCAGCGCTTCGCTGCCTCACGCGTCCCGCCTCCTCCTTAGCTAGCATGACTGCTTCGCAAAAGGAGGAGACGGCATCCCAGTCCCCCTCGCTCCGCATCATGGGCTGCACTAGGCCCGGACGCGAGAGGTCGCCATCGCCGATCACTTCCCTGAGGACACGGCGGTGCTCAGGCCACGCAGGGCATTCTCCCACCGTGTGATGACTCCCGCAGTGATGACACCCGGGCGTTTCCTCCCGCCCCATCAGACACAGGTACCTCCCGAAACTGCCATGTCCGGTGAGGACGCCGTAGCGTCTCTCAAGCCACTCCTCAAAGAGGGGACTTACCGCTGCGATGGCAGCGAGCCCAGCCCTCGGTTGCGACAGTCGTTGCTGCCATTCCGCCATGAGATCGCGCCGGAGCTCATCCCGCCACATCTTTTCGCCATAGACCCTCACGATAGCATATGCATCCCCATCATATAGATGGTTGGCAGGCCACAACTTTGTGCTTCTCACGTAGCTTTCTGCCTCGCACAACAAAACTGTGGAATGATCTGTCGTCGGCGGTATTTCCGAACCGATACGACCTTCAAACCTTCAAGTAAAGGGCGTATGCCTTTTTAAAAGGCCAACAACGCAACTGTGACTCCTCTGGTGTTGCGGGTGTCCGTAGGCGGCGCTGATCGCTTACCATCAGGTGATCTATGTTGTTAAAATAAATTTAAAAAACAAAACAAAACAAAATTATCCTTTACAAAAAAAAGGAGAAGGTACTATGTTCGAAATCGAGTTTTGAATTCAAATGTGCCAGTGTGCCAAACTGCCTACTTATTTACTAGAAAAAAATATTACGTACCTACTTACATAATATTTGGTTATAACTAGTTTCAGGTTACAATGGGTCTACCTCAGCTGCAGACATGTTGCCTCATCTTCGACTTAAAGACAGGCTGCATCATCATGGGCAGTATCAATGCGGTAAGTTTGCTATTCATTTTAAATCAGGCGCTTTTGTATTTCGTTAAGACGTACATGTAGTGTCTATTGAATACGCTTGTCTGCAAGCTTATCAGTCTTCATATTGTTTTAAATAAGTTACGTGTTTCTGAGTTTCTTTTTTCATAGGCCACGACTTTAAAAAAAAATATATAGACAGTTTGAAGAAAAAAGAAGTATAGCAATAATTCCTGTTCTAATGACTACAGATTACTTACAACCCATAATCGCTTAACACAAATCAATAACTATTTAAACTCATGTTTGGTCTAATGCAGAAGGAAAACAGAATAAGAGACTATGTGTAATTTGCATTTGCTAGATAAATCTCAAACACAAGTTTACTCGTAAATTATGCAGTAATCTAAGGGTTAAAAACTAATACTTATTTTCCGCAGGTCCTATCCTTCACGCTTCTATCCTTGATGATAGTGTTAGCAGAAGAAGTGAGAGCTATAGATGTGGAATTGATGTATGCTGGTGACGTGGAGATGCAGGCTGGGGTCGCAGGGCTTTACGCCATGACCGTCATCCTGGTGTTCATGTTCCTCATCAAGTTCCTGTTTGATGTCATCTTCGTTTATGGAGTTTCTACGGTGAGACTGTTACTTATTTTCAAACTAAAACATGTTGTTTAATACCTTTTTGTTTATGATGTAGGATACCTGTAAAAAGGCCTTTAGTTTTTTGTAAAGAATATTTAGAAAAAAAAAGAAAGAAGAAAACAACAGTTTATTTGCACCATTACAGAAAAAATAAC